GTCCCAACGCTGTCACCCAAAAATTCCTGTACAGCCAAACTGCATTCTCAACTAAGTCTTGAAAGAAATGTAAACACATCTTAAAATAACCACACATTCTCAAATGTGACATAATAAAAAATGTGTTTAAAAGAGCTGCAAAGTCTGTAGAAAGAGTGTCGGAGAGGACGACGGAGGCAACTTTCACCCCAGAGATGGTTTCATGTCCACACAGGCCGTCATCATTAGATTTAAGCTTCATTTCCACTCGTTTAGGTTCAAACTATGTGGTGAGGTTTAGAACAAAAATGCTTTGGTTGACACACTCTTTGGAAGCTCGGTGTATACATTTGATTAAGAAAATAGGTTAAATTACAACCCTTTTACAACATATTTGTAGCTTGTTTTCCGCGGTTACCAGCCTGCCATCTAATTTATGAAACTGGTTGGCTAATAAAACCTAATCTAAATGTTCTGTTATTTAACCATGCTGCTAATCCATACACCATTTTAGCACCACACATACATTTACGTCTATTACACTCTTTATTTTTTTTATCTCGGCATATTCTATTTTTTAAATTTAGTTTTATCCTACTTTAACCACCACTTGGCTGCTGATGCTACTGTACAGCTGTTTACCGTTCTGCTCTACGTGTCTTTGAATTGCACCTACGGGACTTTTTAAACTGAATTAACTTAAAAAGGAGCGATAGTCGTGAAGGTAAATGCGTGGCATAGACATGTTGATTTGTGATTTATTGCAAACAACCCAGCAGAAAAAAAAATTGAGAATGCAGTTAGTTGTGTAGAACACCATTTTTGTGACAGAAGATTGCACTGTCTGACGTTTGGCTTTTGGAAATAAATCAATGTACAAGTCAGATTGTGTGAAATAACAAGTTCTGTGTGTAATTTGCCTTTTTTTTTTTTTTTGCTGTAAATTCGAGACCTTCCTTCAGATTGAACATCTGAAAATAGCTGCAGAGAAAGTTCCGTGTCTAATTTTAGATTGCGACGACACGTAAATACAGATGATTAACGAGCCTCCTCCTGTCTCTCTCTCAGGCATCACCTCAATGTCCTCCTCACAGCCACTGGCTAACATTGCTGGATCACCCGTCATCTCTGCCCCCAACACTCTGGCAACACAAGTCCCTGCAGCCACCGGGGCCCAGCCCTAAAGCCACTTCCTCACCTGTGTTTCTGTGTGCTCATGGCCATGTCCTGCCTAGCTCTCACTGCGGCCCAGGGCCATGGCTCCCCCCCTTTTTATGTTGAATATAACAAAGAAAGAAGATTTAAATTGCTTTTCACATTCAGTTATATTTTGACACCTGGACTTGACAGAAATGTATTGTTGCACCTGTCAGGATTATTAGAATTAATTTGGGTGTGTTCTTTGACAATGCCATTGTCTAGAAATTCTAATAAGATGTAGACATGAAGAGAATGGATAATAAAATTTATTTTGTATGTTCCAAATATACAGTCTTGCTTGAAACTGTTTGATGGGGATCCTGCTGTTGTCACACTGTGAACCTTTTACACGACTTTCACAAAACAAAAAAAAGAGTCGGGAATCTGGTGTGCCCCACCCAACAGTGCTCGCCGGTTGCACACGATGTCATGTGCAGGAGTTGTTGGTGTTCTGAAGTTGTTAGATGCTATCATTCTTTAATTGGACTTTTTTGTAGATATTCTACAGTTACTGTCAGGTTGCATGCACCCAATGCTGAGTTTCACAGGGTCAATAGTTTGCCAATTTTATGTTACTTTCACTTCTGTATGTGTATGTATGTGTTCATGTTTGTTTTTTATGAAGTCTCTTACACATGATTTTGATTACATAGACAATTTTGTAACTTTTTGTTTTATGTTGAGAGGAGTCATCACCTACAGAAAACAACTTCAAAAATAAACAATTTAAACAGGGCTTTTTTTTTTTTTTTTTTTTTGGCAGGCACTACACGTTATTGAGCGTACCATCTGTGGAGTGGTTGCTTCGGCTACATGTATGAATTTAAGGCAAGAGCAGCGTAGTCGGTGCGTACCGCAAAACAAATATGATAGTTAATGAGTTTTGGCACCGAATGTTTTACGACATGGTGGATTCCCCAGCTTATTAGGTCTGTGTTTGCTTATTTTGATTAGCTGGAGCAAAGAATCTGACTGCAATCTTTTTTTTTTTTTCTCTAGAGCATGTCCTTAATCACTCACGTGTAGTGTTTGGCATTAAGGAGGCACCAAGTGTGTGCACTCATAGCCGGGAAAAGGCAGAAAGAGAAGACTTGAACCGTGTTAAGAGTTATCGGCAAAATTGGAGGGACCGCTGAGCTCAGCTGTAACTCATTTCAGTGAAATGAAAGGTGACTGATGCGCACACATGTCCTCTCTAGGAAATGAAATCGACTGGCGCTGCCAAAAGTGATGCCGGAGGTTCAACACGGGTTAAAATTTCACACATGAATGACTCCTGCCATTACATTTCCAAATGGAGCCACGGTCAAAAGGCCAAGCATCAGTTAGTCTGCTGGGAAATGCTTTTTTTATTTACCTTCATGGCATGTCCACATGAAGGTGTTTTTAGTAGGCCTGAAGACACGTGATGAGCAAAATAACACCGTGGCTGAGTTGAAACTGCAATGACACAAATTCCGACATTGGGGTTTCACACGCTATGAAACCCAATAAGTTAATTGACTTCAAAAAGATGAAACTGATCACATCGGAAATTTATAAGTGACACTGACTCAATGTTTAAGTGAAAGTTCAGCAGCTGTTTTAAGTGACACCAACTCAATTTTGCAAGTAAAAATAACATTTATTATTATCTCAACATGTTTTTTGAGTTTTTGTTTTTGTTTTTTAGCATTACATGTAAGAATTAAGCTCTATAAACTCTTCTTTTTGTTTAGCGTTACCATAATTCTTTTATGTTGTCCTTAATGTTAACCTAATCTTTAGTTTAATTAAGCTGTGCCGACTTCCCTGTCTGAGGCATAAGTGAGCTGGTGTGCTCTAAGCTGCAGCACATGGGTCGACTTCATAGATCCGCTGTGGAGTTGCGTCTAAACCATTTTAAAGCAGGAAAGAATTGTTTTAGTGGGCAAAAACTCTAAATATGCAATTTTGATACACATGCATGAGTTGGAGGGACTTTAAAGTTAATTTAGACACTTTAGCGTGAAGCTGCTAAAACTGCATTATCCCACTAAACATACAGTTAATCCCCCAAATTAGTCATACAGTGGCTACCATTCATTTATAGTGATGATCTTATGGCAGGAAATGACATAAACAAGTGACAAAAGCAAGTAGGACATTATGTTAGAGATGTTCATGAGGAATTTTAACTATTTCCACTTATTTTTATGCTTTCCCTTAAAAAAAAAAAACCCAAAAAGAACAAACAAAAAATAAAAACATGTCCAAAATTATTCAGTAATTGTTGCCAACTTTTGAGAAAATGCAGCTTGTATGCCACTCCATATGGTCCTGATAAGGTGCACCATGTTTTCTTTTAGATTAGAGATTGGGGAGCTCACTGTTGGGTCGCAGCACTGAGAGAGAGCTCACAAACACAGGGAAGAACTATAACGTCATATCCAAGTGTGAAAGAAAATAAAAGTAACTCACACAAGAAATGAAGAGACCAAGAAGAATGTGAGGATCCACACTAAAGGCCAACCCTGATGAACAGCTCTGGTAGCAGCATCTCAGTAAAACACTCCAGCAGACACAGAACAAGGCCGGTCTTCATGAAAAGAAAAAAGAAAGCTTTGATGCTATTTTCTGTGATCAGATAAGGTGAAAACAGAGTTGTTTGGACACAGAGTCGTGGCTTTCATTTGGCACGAGAAATGAGAAGCGTTCATCTTGAAGAACAGCATTCCCACGATCAAACGTGGTGGTGAAAATGTGATGCTTTGGGCCTGTTTATCAGCTGATGGACCAGCCAGGCAGCCGGGTCGGAGTAAACAGCATCATGAGAAAGGAGGAGCACATTGAGATTGTGGAGGAGAACACCAGGCAGTCTGCACAAACACTGCTCCTTGGAGCTTCCAGCAAGACAGTGATGTGAGACATGCAGCCAAAATGTAAGGAGATGGTTAGCAGAACACATTATGAAGATGTTGGAGCGGCCCAGCCAGAGTTCAGACCTGAATCCATCCAGAATCTGTGGAGGAAATGAAGAGCTGAGTGATGGAGAGGAAGCCTTGGAGCTCAAAGATCTGGAGAACAACACTTGGAGGAACAAAATCCCAGTGGAGACCTGCGAGCAACTGGAACAGCTGTGATAGCAAATGAAGGCTTTTGATCACTGAACAATTTTGAACTTGACATGTTTATGAAAGTGTAAAGAAAAAGAAGAGGGGGTGGAGGGGTGGGAACATGATTCAATTTCATCATGAACATCTCCAACACATTCTTTTACCACTTTGTGCCACTTGTTTGTCATTTCCAGCCACACAAATCCTTTTGGACACATACAAATTCACAATTTATCAAAACTTTGGCATGGTTAGGCATAATTTGGTGCCTTAACTGTGCACTCACATGAACACACAACCAACAAATGACCGCTGGCAGAAGAAATCTCAAACTTTTCTGCACAGAAATGCAGCCACAGCGACTCCAACCGTTTGGAATTATGCTGCCTTCACGTGCTCACAAAATGTCGGACATTACTGTTAATGAATAGTTTTCACGTACACTAAGGCTTATTGTTGGCAACTTAAATAAAACAAATACTTTATGTCTTATCTTGCAAATCCATCAAAAATAAACACAGGGTCATAATCCTGCAATTTCACTAAAAGAAGGAGTCCGGTTAAATACTAATAAAGTGTAAATTGCAAATATTGTTGCCAGAAAGTGAAGTGTTTTTAGATAAGACAGTTAGAAAACACAACCTTGAAGATAGGAAAGTTAATTAAATGGGCACGGTAAGGAAAGGGTAACAGGGAAACACATTAGTTTAGGCATTTCCGATGCTCGTGAACGCAGCCTTGCAGAGGCACGCCTTCGCCCGCAGTGCAGCGAGACTTTTAAGCTGTTTGTCAAACTTTCCTGTCGTGATTTCAACATGGGAAAACTGGGCTGCATCTCGCTTTTAGTGGCTGCTTTGGCGGTGCTGTTGGGAGAGAGATTTTACAACTTCAGGTAAAAGACAAACAAACAAAGAAACACAGCTTTGTTTGTGTTGCTGCTCTGTTTTGTGTTCTGGTCACCTGCCCTGATGTGACTTTGTTTTCATGCACGCTGCAGGAAAAGAGCCCTGGCTGACAGAGTGCTGGCCAACAACCACCTCCCCAACTGTGTGCTGCTTAAAAATCTGGGTAAGAAACGCCACAATAACGTGCAGTTTTCGTGCACTTTAAAGTGTGAGATTAACTGTGCATGTTGTGTGCTGCTTTCAGAACATGGCACGGAGGATATCACGATCCTGGGAGACGGGCTCGCCTTTATCAGCGCAGTAAGTATTTGAGTTGAAGTGCAGCCAAATGTGCGCCTCTGAGGCTCGTCAATAAGCCCATGTACACAGATTATCCATGTGACCAGTTTATAATTAGTTTAAAGGTTGTAATCAGGGCCTTATTTGTTCCATGGTTATTATTTTTTTAAACATTGGAGGTAGGACTTTAAATGGGTGGTCTGAGTAATACACATTTCTGCATTCTGGTGAATTTCTATGCACCAGTTTGTTCCTTTATGTGTCTGAATTACCACCTCCAGACGAGGAGCAGCTTCATGTTGGCAAACAGGGAGTTTTGGCAGCAACCATGACGGAGACTTTTGGGGCAGTTAATGTCCTCCAAGCCTGATTGGGACAATGTGAGTGTAGCTGGATAGTTAAATATCTGTGACTTCATCTGCATCTTCAAGAATAAGTGTCCGCTGTACTTAACACATTATAATGATTAGTTGATTTTTAATTGATAATGTGGCTATCACTTAAACAAATTGTTTAAAATTTGCATCCCTAGTAGCTATAAAACCAGCATTAGAAGCAATGGAATATTAGTAATATTAAATGTTTGTTCTTCATGTTTCTACTGAGGGGCAGATAAACATGTCCTGAACACTGAGGGATGTTTGACTGTACGTAGTCTCCAATTCTGAAAAGTGAAGCCAATGTGAAAGCAATTTAAACCTGCTTGTTTTTCAACAGCCTGCAGGGGGCGACTCCTCTGGCTGCAAGAACAATAGATTTTATTGACATCTAGGAGAAAATGACTGTACTTCTTCCTGAATGTGTTGCCTCTGCAAGCATTTTCCTAATGAGTTTATAGTCTTCAGAGGTTTGTCTAAGTAATGCTACAGGGGCGCTGTGCCCTCATACTCCCGGCTTGCGTCCTCTTACCAAGATGCCGATTGAACCGTAGTAACGCTTGGGCAATGTTCTTACATGCTGCCGTACAACATGCAAACTTCACGAAAACGATCTTCTCGGCCGTGAAAATATCCCAGCACCATCACAAGACAATGTATCTGATCATCAAAAACATTACAGTGACTCCAGCATATTCCGATTGCGGTAGACACACCGTTAGACGGTGCAAAAAACCATCAAAATTGGCGTTTTCCATGCAGAGGCGCCATATTGTTTTGATGTTAGCTACTCTAGCGAGATTTCATACAGGTTGCATGCAAGGTCAGCTGACCTACACAGCGAGATCTCTCGAGAATTAATGACCTTTCCCCCACATGTATGATAAGGTTTTACTCCATGACATTGTGTCATACTCAGGTTAAAGTACATGACAGGGTCTTGCTCCCTGACACTGTTACACTGGTTAAAGTACATGTATGTGTATCATGGTGCAGTACAAGCATGTAAGAACATTTCAAGTTCTAGTAAATAGATCTTTTGCCAATACTAGTGTTTGTCATGTTTTCATTTACAGAGTACAGTTGTGTTACAATTCTAACCAAACAACAATTGCTCAACAGTTGATAATGTCTTGATTTCTGAAGTTTCATGAGCTAAAATTTCTCTCTCAGATGGCCTCTGAATGTCCCATTTAAGCTTCAATTTTTCAAAGACAACTCCCTCGACATGGTGTGCTCCCTCATACAATTTTTTTCTAGAAAAACCCCTGGTCTCAGTTGCTAGTTTGAAGACTTTGATCACAACATGATGTTCATTTTGTAAACTGTGGTCCCATTTACGGGATAACTGATGTTAAAGCAGTGTAAGTTTAAGGTGTTTAGGGCGGGGCTGCCATTGGACATTTCAGGCTTCTTATTCCTCCCCTTTGCTGTTTTCAATATCTACTTCACTGTCGGGAAACAACAACAGCAATCTCCGAGCAGCAAACTATGACGCTGCAAATTTCATTATTTTGGATTAGGATTGCACAATACGTCAGTCAGCAAGGCAAATTCAATCACAGTTCTTGCCTCTTTTGATGCAAAATGTTAAACCAAACCAATCCCCCATTACTGTTTTAAGGCAACACCAATGCTGCACTCTCTGCTTCGCTCCACCTGCGACAGTTGTGATTGGTTTAAAGAAACACAAATGAACCAAAGCAGTTCTTTCCCCCTCAGTAGCAGCATGATAAATAAATGCAATCAGACCAGACTGACCAAGAGAGGCTACCTTGTGTTTGGATTAGCTGCTACAGTATCGCTGTGCGTGGCATCTTTGGGTTCTCTAGTTTAATCCTCTGCTTTCTTATTACATTCTGTTACAAAAAAACCCAATATGGCGACAGTAAGATGCCAAATCCGAGGCATCACAACAACCAACAGCTGACGCCATGTCCATCTTTTATATACAGTCTGTACCAGTATCCCTTGTCCCTTGTCCCTTCCTCAAAACCTACACATATGATCTGTGGGATGTAAAAATTCTTGTTTTGTTTAAGGGAAAAATCACCTTCCACCCTCCCACAATCATTTTATATTGCTATTGATATACTCAGCATTGCCCCAAATGATCCCATTTTAATGTTAAAAATCTGCAAAAATCTAAAACTGCACAACTATTTCTTGAAGGGCTTTTAATTTAATTGCTTCGGATTCCTTAAAATGCACAAAGTTGCCTACTGTTGAGAACAGACAGAGCCTTCAATCTGGACTATTGTGTTTACGATCCACTCTTCCTTATCAAAGCTGCCTCTTGTTTGTACTCAGTGTTATGTCATTTTATGTCATGTAATATTTTTTATAGTCTAGGGCTGAACAAAGTATTATTAAAATTGCAATATGGCCAAGTGCAATGTACAAATCATACAAGCTGGAATTAAAAAAAAAAAAATCAAAATGAAGATAATATGGGTCACAAAAATAGCTTTACAAATGAAGCGTTGTGATGCTACAGAGATGTGCTGCCTTAGAAATCATATTTTCTAGGAATAAAGGAGCACGCCTGTTTGACTCTCTAGGAAAAAACACATGATCCATTTTTTTGTTTTTTCAAGAAATTTAAACGTGTTTGTGCGACTATTTGCACTTAAATTATGACTCACAATATTGGTGATAATGGTTTTTAAAAAAAAATATTTTCAGTGTTGTTGTCGTCTGCATAACTTCTCTTTTTTATTAATTCTAGGGTCTGAGGTATCCTGGATTTCCAGCTTCAGATGAGCCCGGAAAGATCTTTGTCCTTGATCTGAAAGATTCTCGACTGAAACCAACGGAGCTGCGTATGCCGAGGAACTTCGACCTAGAAACGTTCAACCCACACGGTATCAGCATCTACACCGATCCAAGCGGTAAGAGTCGTGATGTGTGGCTGCACACCTGCTGTCAAACGCAAGTCTCTGCAAAGGTGACACCTAACGGGTGCTGGTGTTTTTTGTACATTTTGACCCAGATTTGACTAAATTTAGCAGCAATTTAAGCACCTGTATTAACTTGTAACTGCTAATCATAGTTTATATGTAGTTGTTGGTTGATATGTGCTTGTGTGTGCATGTAGAGTATGTGGACAAACCTGCTGGGATCACCTGCTGCGACAGTCACTCCCCTGTGGGTGCAACAGCCAAGGCCATGTTTGGTGTTGGCTGTTCAATAAAAGCATCTAGAAACGCAGGAAGTCAGTACTTTCTGCGAGAACACAAATTGTGTGTAGTTATATATGTATATGTACAACAAAAAAACATTGCTATTTTTTTGTTTTGCTCTTGTGAGAACTCGACATCTACAGGTGGGATTTATTTTTACCAACATGCATGAACTTTGCAAGGATTTTATTTACATATCCCAATATTTTTTCCGATTATTTATTACAGTCTTTACAGCCTTTATCACCTTCTGTCCTCTGATGCCCGGACGACAGCAGAATGTAGCAGCTCAGGCTTTCAGCAATTATTAAGCTGTGTAATCTCACTGTGCTGGTAGTATCAGTAGTCATGCATGTCCTTCACACACACACACACACCCTTTTCAGCTGGGTTCTTTCAGGACAATGCTTTTCTTGTTTCTGTTTTGCCAGATGATGCTGTGTACCTGTATGTTGTCAATCATCCTCATCTAAAAAGCCAAATTGAGGTGTTCAAATTTGTCGAGGAAGAACTCTCCCTGGTGCATCTGAAAACCATCAAACACAAGCTTCTCCACAGGTACGGTGCAGCGACGACTTTAAACTGGACTGCGCTTGAGGGTGTGTGAAACCGTTCCATAGCATATGCATATTATTGTGTTTAAAATGTACTTAAACCATTTTTCTTGCATTCTGATTTTTCTTTCCAGTGTAAACGACATTGTGGTCGTGGGAGTTGACAGCTTCTACGCCACCATTGATCAATACTTTGAAAACGAACTTCTCAAAGGTTACTTCGAGCTGCTATTGGGTCAGCCGTGGGGTAGCGTCGTGTACTACAGTCCGAATGAAGTCAAAGAGGTCTCCCAGGGTTACTACATGGCAAATGGAATCAACGTCTCGCCAGACAGAAGGTAAGATCTGCAGGGACGAGCACATTGTTGCATTGCACTAATGTTTTACTTCTAATTCTGATCTCCTTTACAGGCACGTATATGTGGCAGATCTGTTTGGCCACAATGTGCACATGTTGGAGCGGAAAGAAGACCACACACTGACTCCTGTGAAGGTAAATGAGTCCACCTGTTAGCAACATGAAACCACACAGATTTTATCAAATCCCCTGATGGATCAGTACAGTGATGACATCTCAGTTGTAAAATTCTTGGTGCTAAACAAAAACTCATGTTTTAGTTTTTCATCGCAAACTTTAAACGTTAGAATTTTGTGTAACAATAAGAGAGTATCATCATTTCTTTTTTTTCCTTTTATCTGGCCTTTTTGCCTTTATTAGTCAGGATAGAATAGAATAGAATGCCTTTATTTTCACTATACACATGTACAATGAGATTAAGAGCAGCTCCTTCAGTGCAATATAGAATAAAGAACAAAACAAAGAGCAAAAAAATACAAAATATAAGAGATTTAAATATAAAATAAGATAAGTTATATATGCATGGTCATTGATGATATTGCACATTTAAATAGAGTTTATAGTAGGTGGTTGGGGGTAGATTGGGGGGCAGGGGTGGACTGTGATGTCAGTGCATGTGTGAGTTCAGAGTGGTGATGGCTTTTGGGAAGAAGCTGTTCTTGAGTCTGTTTGTTTTGGTTCTGATGCACCTGTAGCGCCTCCCTGAGGGCAGCAGGTCCAACATGTCAGAACCAGGGTGGGAGTTGTCCTTGATGATGGTTCTTGCTCTACTGAGGCAGCGGGAGGTGTAGATGTCCATCAGGGAGGGGAGAGGGCAGCCGATGATCTTCTGGGCTGCCTTTACAACCCTCTGAAGCCTCTCCCTGTCTGCCGTGGTGCAGCTGCCGTACCATACTGTGATACAGTAGGTCAGTAGAGAGAGTGAGACAGGAAAGGGGGGAGAAGAGAGGGGAGGACCTGCAGCAAAGCGGGAGTTGAACCCACGACAGCTGCATCGGGGAACGATAGCCCCTGTTCATGGGTCGCCCGCTCACCTAGTTGAGCGGGTGACGCTCACCCTGCTGCTGAGCTTGAAGAGACATGAATGACTTTTCCCCTATAAACCTCGCTGTCATTTTGCACTTCTGTCCGCCTGCGACTATGAAATCTCCTGGGAAAAATAAAGGCTGGATTTGCAGCACAAAGACGTGCAGCTACAAATGCACAGCAACAACAGAAACAGGATAGCCCTTTTGTTTTCCCTCTGTAGGTGTTTGTCGATACTGTAACAACCAGAATAACTGTTGAAACTGGAGCCGGCGAAAGGAGATTAGTGTTGTCACAATATCAAAATCAGGACTTCAATACAACACCTGCCTAAATATACTGATACTGAAACAACACCATGGAAAGAACTGAACAGAAAAGTAAATAAAAGTTCAGTTGTAGTATATGACAGAACTGATATTTAAATAAAAATAGATTCACAATGTCAATGCAAGGCAGTGGAGGATGCCAGAAGAAACCATCGAACAACAGAACAAACCAGAGTGTTCATACATTTCATGATCCAACCAAAGCTGGACACATTTTGCATTAAAATCAGCTCTTTCCATGTTTCTCCACCTTCCCATGACGCACTTAGGAAAGATTAAATAATTGCAGAAACAAGTGGCAGCACATTTTAATTTCCCATCTCCACTCTTTCTGCAGAAATTCAGTTTTTTTTGTTGTTGAGCTGCACGCTTTTAAACGGCAGATTTTTAGCAGCTTGCAGCAGTAGCACGAGTTACCAGTGTAAAGCTGTATTTGCATATAAATGTGTTGGGCCCCATTGGTAAGTAAGTTATTGTTTATTATCGTGACAAACTCCAACAAATTTGTTTATGCCAAAAATACATTTTTGACCTATTTTTGATGTAATTCTTTGACTAAGTCTGCACATCTGTTGCCGAGATGTTTTTCCAAGTCGGATCAGTCGTCCTGTGTAGGTTTAAAACGTCCTTTTGGACTTTGTGGCGTCTCACCCTGACTGTCGGCCTGTAGGTCAAATAATGACACGTTTTGCTTTCAGTTGACGCCTTTTATTGTGTCACCATGAAGCTGCAGAAACAAAAAAAAAGGTTGGCACACCCCACTGCGCCTGCAAAGATTGGAGGCTGAACTCTGCACACACATACGAGCCAACTGTCACACAGCAAGAAATACGACTTGTAATAAAGCACTGTCATTTTCGAAGCATAGATACTTATAAATGAGGCGTCGCGCAGTTTAATTTGAATGTCTTTCTAGAAGGAGTGTACAGTGCAAGGCTAAGCTCACACACTCCTCTCCACCTTGTTACTTGTTTGCACGTTGCCGTGGTCGAACTATACTCCATATCAAATAAGCGCTACTTATCTCTTCTGTTAACGTGCTTCTTTCGTGTTGTTCATTTCAAGTGTTGCTGGTAGTTGCGAGGCTGCTGAGAAAAACAGCAAGTCATGCGGTCATGCGGTGCCAACAGTAATGACATTTGGAAGCACAAAGGGGGGAAAAAAGTTGTCTGTTTCCACTTTAATGGGAAGTGATGGGAGACAGTTTAGCTGCAGTAAACCAACAGCTACCACTCTGCTGGAGGTAGCTGTTGGTTTAAAGCAAACACAAATAGTTAATGTAGTTTAAATGAAATCACTGCAAAACTATTGTAAACTAGAAGTGTTTGTTTTTGGTATTTTAATGTAGATTTTGAAGTATTGCATTAGACATTAATGGAAGCAGGTAATGATTTTTGACTTTTTCGCAAGCGTTAATGAACTTAACAGGTAATGAACACACCCTCTTTTTGTTTTTGTTTTTTTAAAATAAGATCAGGCGTAGTGTTATCAGCTTTTTTTCATTGTCTTTGCTTCCGGACGCCATGAAACGTAGCCAATACTAGTTGACATTTCAAGTATTTATGTATTTGTTTGCTATTTCTTTTACTCTATTACATCTATTTATAGCATAGCCAATACTGCCACCTTCTGACAACACCATGTACTCTTAATTTAATCACTCTCAAGCAAAGTTAATTATCTTTTTTTTTTTTTTTTTACATTTGTTGTGACATTTTTATTAATTTGCTTAAAATGTGCTCAATTTTTTGTATGGAAACGTGACTTGTGATGCCTTTCTCATATTCAGGAAGTAAAGTAATGCTAGAATTGTCATTTAAGGTAATCAAGACACTGTGCTGAATGTATAATAATACCCTCGACTGTGACCCCTCACCAGGCCGTGGCTGTGGATACACTCCCTGACAACATCGAAGTTGATCCTGAAACCGGCGACCTCTGGGTGGGCTGCCATCCGAATGCATGGAAGCTTTTCATGTTCGACCCCAATGACCCAGCCGGATCAGAGGTTTTGTCCATTCCTTCTTAATCTGATCATGCTTTTTTAAAATATTTTTTGATTTATGAGGTGTGTCAGAAAAGTTTCAGGACCGGTGACACAAAAGATATGTTTCAAATCCAAACTACAAGTTTTCCCTGGAATCTAGCACACTTTCCCAGCCCTCGCCGTGCACTCCTGGAACGATTCTTCCGGGATCCTCTTCAGCTCCGTCGTCACAACCATCTTGATGTCGCCCACGTCCCCCTTGATGACCCCCTTTGAACCTGGGGAAGAGGGAAAAATCCCACAGAGCCAGGTGGGGTGAGTAGGGAGGTTGCGATGTTCTTCTCAGCCAGGAAACGTGGGATGCTCAGGGCGTTGTCATGGTGAAGCCGCCATGACTTGTTCTGTCACAACTTTCGCCTCTTCTTGCGCGCTGAACAAATCAAACGCCGCAGGATCTCGTTGTAGACGTGCTGCTTGATCGTCTGAAGGGGAAAAGTCGTAGTTTGTGGTTTGGGTTTAAATTGTTCTTTTGCAACAACCAGTCCTGGAACTTCTCTGACACACCACGTAAACAGCAGATTTACCTACTTCCATCTTCTGTTTTTCTTACATTGGTTTCTTCCCGTGTCCTCAGGTCATCCGCATCCAGAACATCCATTCCGATCAGCCGAAGGTGACTCAGGTGTATGAAGACGATGGACATACGCTCCTCGGCTCCTCTGTAGCGACGACCTACGACGGGAAGTTGCTCATCGGCACCGTGTTCCACAAAGCCATGATCTGTGATTTGAAGTAGGCGATGTCTCTTTAGAGGGGAAAGAAAATACTCAATGAAGTTCAACGAAAAAACAAGGAAATCCAGCGTTACCTCTTTTTTTCTGTCAGACTAAACATTGAAGATTTGAATGATATACAGCAAAAAAAAAAAAAAAATGCAGTTGGCCGTGTTGTGCCAGACGGGATCTGATAACAGGAACAAAAATACCTCTCAGCTAATGTGAGTGTTCCTAAAGAGGAGCTGAAGGTAAAGAAAACATCTGAGCTTTGGCGACTAAAGCATATTTGAAACTGAGGTGATTTCACACCCTGAAACTATTGAACTGTCGAGATATTTGAACCACTGTGAAATACTTTCAATCAGACGTAATACATGTAGCCACTTTGTTGTTGTTGTGTACCACAGAAAATAATGTTTTTCACTGGTGAGCTGAAAATGTGAAATATTCACATGGGCAATGTGTGTAACGGGATACTTTTAGATGTTTTGATGATAAAGAAAATGATTGATTTGACCGAATAAAACCAACAAAAAAAAGATTTATGTTACCAGTGTAGTTTGTCTTGTGGCTCTACTGAAGAGTGGTTGATGCTCACATACTGTTAAATAAAAGTCTATTCTAGTTTGTGTAACTCAAGTTACATTATCTGGTTTTTCTGCTCATGAGAGTCTTTTCAAGCTGGAACAAGCTGCACTGAGAAATGTCGCTGGAATAGTGTGCAGCAACATCTGTGGCAAGTAAAGGTTTGATGTCCCCAAGTTCCACCGAAAAATTGAATTTTATGCATTCAGCTGACAAAGAATTATTAGACATTCTTGCATTAAACATTTTTTTACAAGCTCTGTAGCTGGAGAAGGAATTGTCTGAAGCTGCGGTTTATTTTTGCCTCTCCTGTACAATCCATAAAATAACCCAGAATATCAGTAATACAAAGAAGAAAAGAAAGAAAATAAAAAACATCACACGATTTACTCTAAATTATTTTTCGTAATCATTTCATACACTGTAATCCTTAATTATTTTACCTTTCAATGTTTTCTTGAGACTCAACTGAGTCCATAACATAACTCCCAAATATGAAACACATCTGTATTTAACATTAGGTCTCACGTTGCCTCTTTCAAATACACCCGGCCCTCTTAAATTACAATTTTTTTTCTCTTAATTTAAAAAATCGTTGAATAGATTCAGATCTGCTTGACTGTCGTTGCAACAAGTACAATGAAAAGTATGGTGCAGGCCTGTCAGTGCAAAAAAAAATGTAAAAAAAAACTTTGTAAACAACTACATACAACATAATATTAGAAAAAATGTATTTATAAAAAAAACAACAACTATATAACGATGAAATTAAAAGAATTAATTAAATGAAATTAAATAATAAGCACGAGACTACTCAAAATAGTATTTCTAATGGTTTTCAATTTTAAGGTGCAAGATCTAGAAGGCCTAAGGAACAACTGGAACAGATGTGGGCGGTGAAGGCTGGGAGGGCAGCAGGTACAACACCTGAGTTTGTTGCAGACGGGTGCAGTCAAGGAACTGCTGAGGTACTGAACGGAACCAGGGGCGTCGCCAGCCCTGGGCTTTCGGGGCTCTGATGTTTTTTTCCCAAGCCCCGAACGTTCAAAAGTCCTCTTGTGTGCACATGCATGATGAAAGGCCGAAATGTTCCGAGCCCCTTATGTTCTGGGTTCAGCTCCTGATCCTAGAAACGGTGCTGCACAGAACCCTCAGAGAACCTTCAAACCACCCCCCCCCAGTGTAGGGTTAAGGGAGGCAGGGGTTTTTAAAATATAAAAATAAGAATGTTTAATCACCTTCTTACCCCAAATGCATATTTAATTACAATTTATCAGGGAAAAAATAGGAACAGTTGCATTTTTTTTTATGTATTTATGTGTTTATTACGATCTATATTATTCATATTCTTATTGTATCCAATTGTGTTTTTTATAGATGTGGAACTAAAATGTGTGTGCAAAAAAAAAAGGAATTTTATTTTTTAGTCAATTTTTTATGTAATTGTTTGGTTGTTAAAGCAACAAAAAAAGGAAAAATAAATAAATAAACAAAAAGTCCAATATGTTGCTGGATGAAAATTTTGTTAAATTGGCAATTTCAAACACCCCTTCTAGATTTTTTTATTTTATTTTTAAATAATGGGGCAGGTACATCCGGTTTCTATGGGAAGAATCAATGAGCTTCTTGCACACACACACACTTGAGCTCCACCTTTTGACCAGTTGTGTAAATGCAGTGTGAAACCCGTTGGACTTCTCACTTGGAAACATGGGCGCCATGAGGAAACTACTGATTGCTGCTGCTGTTGCTGCTCTTGCAGTGTTTGCGGCAAACACGTACACGCGAATGAAGTAAGTGTGAAATTATCATGAGAGGAGAATCAGAAACATGGAATCACGGCAGAGGATTAATATTATTGTTAATGTTCACAGTTGCTGCAGTGAGTAGAAGAGGAAGAGGTGCTCCCAGTGGAAGAATTATTTTTTTAAAGTTATTCAAGCTCAGCTAAAAAACACTGATGGGACACTTTGGAAGTTGTGTTTTCCTTTGAAAGCTTGAGTCATGTTTAACTTTCTCTGCAGGGTTATGATGCTTGTGTCCAGAGAGGTGACCGTGAAACACCGCAACTGTCAGTATTTACAGAATATCGGTACGTTTTCTTTATATTCATGTTGGTATCTTAATTTTAAAGGGGGTTACAATGTAGAAATAAATGCTGAACTTTGGTCATTTATGTGTAAAGTGTGATAATAGCGGAAGAGTTTGAAGTCCATGCAGCAGTAGGTCAAGTGTCAGCAGGATAAAACATAGGAGTGCTTTATGTAAGAACTGAGGAGTTCAAGTTCAAAAATCTTTAATAACCCCGTGGGGAAATTTTTGTGCAGCCAGCAATGAGACAGTCACTGCCACAATCACACATGCAACAACAACAACAGAAAACAACAGAGAAAGGACAAGACCGATCACTTGTTTAACAGGGAAACAGCAGCAGGGACAAAAGAACATTTATATCTATTGGTCCTGCACTTTGGCAGAACATACCTGCGCCCCAGCGGGAGTAATTGGAACCAGTGGGCCAAGGGATGGCTCTGGTCTGCGGCGATTAAACGGGCCTTGGCTAATAACCTGATTTGATGTAGGGCTGTCAAGTTATTTAGGTTCGTCCCTGCTATTTTTCCACACAGCCTCACAATACCTTGCAGTCTGTTTTTTGTTTGGAGGAGAAGCTTTAATATGTTGTTGTTTTTGCACAGAATGTGGGGCAGAGGATATCACGATCCTGAAAGATGGACTGGCCTTCTTCAGCTCGGTATGTTATTATTTGAATTATTTACTATAGTTTACTAAATGAATCCTCTCACCACTATAGCTGTCTGGATCTTTCTGCACTGAGCTCAAGCAAAGTCTTCCAGCGTCTCTTACGTGCACGTTTGTCCACTCAGGGGTTAAAGTTTCCTGAAGTGCCTTCATTCTGCGATGGACCGGGGAAGATGTATGTCGTGGATATGCTGCACCCGAAGCCGACGCCGGTGGAGCTGCAGATCAAAGGCGAGCTGGACCTCAGTTCGTTCAACCCTCACGGCATCAGTGTGTACACGGATGAAGCAGGTGAGCTGCAAAGCAACTTTAAAATGGAAAAAAAAGAAGAAACAAAGACATAAAATTGTCACTAAATAAATAGTTAGGAAGTTTTATTTGAGGATTTTTTTGTTCTTCAGCGGGCAGAGTTTCTTCAGTTTTCAGACACACCTCTTTAGTTCTGCACAATTTGGAATCCTCACACAGTGTACAGTCGTCCTCAAATGTATTCAGACCCTTGCAATAAAGAAAAATTCAGAAAAGTCACTCAAATAACTATAAACAGAAAAAAGAAATAATAAATAAAAATTTGCTAAATTATAATTTAGTGAAATAAGTCATTGCTTTTGAATTGTGGTTGAAAAAAAATAATTAAAAAAAAAAAACTGTCCTGGATTAAATGAGAGCACTTTGCTGATGAGCAGTCAACAGGTGCAGACATCTGATTGAGAGTTACAGAAAACACTTGATTGCAGTGATTGGCTCAGAGGGTTGTTCAACTAAATATTAGTTTACAGTCCCACCATGGTTGTTTTTTTTTAAATATTTCTGTTGAACCACAATTCAAAAGCAATGTCATGATTTTCATTACATTTTTATTTATTACTACTTTTGTCAATTTCAACTTATTTCAGTGACAGCTGCTGTTTTTTTTTCCTTCTTTAATGGGAGGCTATGAACACATCTGAGGACGACTGTGTGCGTTCTCTACAGTTTCTTATTTTTAGATTCAGGTTTTGCATATGACAAATTCAGGAAATGGAGGAACAAAAGGACAATAACCTCTGATAACGTGTTCAGCTGTACACTAAACTGTATAATTCATCCCACACCCACCCAACCGGTCGAGGCAGATGGCCGTCCCTCCCTGAGCCTGGTTCTGTCAGAGGTTTTTTTGGTTCCTTCCCACTGTTGCGGACTGCTGAAGCTTGTAGGGAATCCAAATGTGTTGGATTGTTGGGTGTTTCTGCCTTTGTTAAGCGCTATGAGGTGACTTCTTGTTGTAAATATGCGCTATACAAATAAAATTGAATTGAACTGAATTGAAGCCAAAGCGATAGTCTGTTCATGACAGATTGCTGCTATCGCTCTTTCTTTACTGCAGATTAAAATACAATAGAATTCAACAGGCAGCCTTCTTTAAACAAGTACACACATTCACAAACACGTCTTCATTCACAAGCCACAGTAGGATCTTTGGACTCTATTTTGAACTATTTGAAGACTAAAGTGTTCCTTTAACAAGTCCCAATAGTTCTTTAAATGGTGCTAGTATTTACATGAGGGTCCCTCCATTTGAAATCGACTGAATCTGAAAAAAGTTTCCACTTGACTCGCTCAAGAATCAGCTGATAATTTATGTACAATCAATTTAGTGTATGGAATGAAGCCACACTAAGGTTTACATTTATGCTACAAATAAGTTTTAAAGTACGTTCATGCGTCACGAACGAAAGACAAAGCCTCTTTTTGGGCAGCATTTTTTTCTGCAACAAGATCTGAGCAGTTTAATTTCTATGTTGTCGAGTGATAGAAACAAGCATCGCTGCCCTGGATGTGTGATCTTTTGTCTGATGAATCACTGGAGAAAACTTTTTTTTTTAAATTAGAGCTAATGGAACCTCATTAAATGAAAGCAAAGCAGATTTGAAATATTATTCACGGACTGCATTTTTTTTCTTAATATATTGATATTCTGTTCATACTTCTATAGGCTTAAGTGATGTTTATTGCTGGCAGCAGGGGGATTAAAATGGTCGTGACACATACAGGGGATTTACAGGAATGCAGAGTGTAATCCAGCGTTCCTGTTCCTGGTAATTTGACTTCACTGATAGCAGCTTCTCTGTTTGCTGTCCGCCATTGTTCAGCCATATCAGAGCTTTATTAAGCTAATGCTACTTCTAACTCATCATCCTTGAAATGGCAAAAAAGGTTGCGTTTCCTCTTGTTCACTCATTCCTGACAACAGAGTCTGTGCAATTGTTACTCCAATCCTTTAGCTAATCTGACAAATTATCAATCGGGTTAAATATTGGGGCTGATCAGTTGTTTGGTGAGACGTGGTGACACTTTCTTCTTTGCATCCTTTTGTCCTCTTGGCTGGGCTCTTGATTTGTATGAGGGAAGGTGAAATAATTCTACAATAAACTACATTTTATCAGATTTAGTGTCGTTGTGTCGGCGCACCAACAGGTTAATTATTGGAGGCATCTTATATCAGGCTCCTGTTAGTTATCTTTTATGGTTCTGACATCTCGTCTCTGTTGAACTCAACACATACGAACCTGAGCATGTGATTTCTGACAGTTAAATGAGGATAAAAAGTAAAAAAGAGAAGCTGGCAGCTCACCGTGAGGCTGTAGACTTCATTAGTGTTCTTATTTTAGGTCTGTTTAAGTTATTTTTGTTGATTTTGCCAATATTTCATTGATATTTTAGTTAATAAATGCTTTCTTTTTTGCAGTTACTTGTGAAGTAACATCATGATGTGACACTAATTAAAGGACTTAAAGAGATGGCTGTGTTGGCTGTATGAGGCTCTAATAAATAGCGTATTACCGACAGTATAAGGCATGTTGTAGGAGACATACAGGTTGAAGATGAGGAGCATGGTGTGCTTGAGTGTGTTGCAGAGGCGCTGGTTCACGTGGGAGTAGGCGTGTACACATGTGGAAGTGTTTGTGTATATAAAGGTGTGCATTCACCTGTGACACAGAGGAGAGAGTCAGGGTTGGGTAGTAGCTGTAAAGTTCATTCATCACTTTTTTATCTGATCAATCGGCTGGTTTTCATTTGTCCATTTATCCATCTTTGCTCTGCTGTGATACCTCTGTGCTGTTTGTCATAATAAACGCACCAAAAGCATCTTTGGATCTCAGCGTATCTGTCATCACAGCCTCCTGGCGCGTCACAAATCTGCAAACATGAGGACCCAACCTCTAATCTACAGAGCAAAATAAAATATCACTAAATCAAATCTGGCACGTGTATGAATCATTTTGGGCTTAACTGTACATGTGAAATGACGTAAATGCATATCAGTGATTTGGTTGCTCATCTTTAAAATCTAGTGCTTTGGTGAGACCACACATTCTTGGATCACTGGTCTGAGACCTTGTTTGGAAATAAAAGAAGTGATTGAACACGCCTCTGGTTGAGCCCTCATACTCTCAGCGGCTGAAAGGTTTGTCCCCCCCCCCGAGAAAGTTAATGTACAGTTAGTACTTTATAAATTTATTAGACCACCTGTCTAACTTGTCAAGCACTGCATATATATATATACAGTCGTCCTCAAATGTATTCAGACCCTTCCATTGAAGAAAAGGCTAAATTCACAATAGTCACTCAAATAACTAGGAACTGAAAAAAGTAATAATAAATTTTTAAAAAAATTACAGTTTAGTGAAATAAGTCATTGCTTTAGCACCATCACCTCGCAGCGAGAAGGTCGCCAGTTCGCTGCCCAGTGGGGGCACCGGGATCTTTCTGCGTCTCCATGTTCTCCCCGTGCAGCGTGGGTTCTCTCCGGGTTCTCCGGCTTCCTCCCACACAGTCCAAAAACATGCTGAGGTTAATTAGTGATTCTAAATTGTCCGTAGGTGTGAATGTGAGTGTGCTTGGTTGTCTGTCTCTAAGTGTGGCCCTGTGATAGACTGGTGACCTGTCCAGGGTGTCCCCTGCCTTCACCCTGAGTCTGCTGGGATAGACTCCAGCCCCCCATGACCCTAGTGAGGATCAAGCGGTGTATAGATAATGGATGGATGGAAGTCATTGCTTTAGAATTGTAGTTGAAAAGATCAATTTAAAAAAACAAAGAAAACTGTTCCGGACAAATGAGAGCACTTTGCTGATGAGCGGTGGGCAAAAATACCCCACAACAGGTGCAGAAGTCTGACTGAGAGTTACAGACAACACTTGATTGCAGTGATTGGCTCAAAGGGTTGTTCAACTAAATATTAGTTTACAGTCCCACCATGCTTGTTTGCTTGTTTGTTTGTTTGCTTGTTTTTTTTTGTTTTTTTATATATATATTTCTGTTGAACCACAATTCAAAAGCAAGTCATGATTTTCATTAAATTTTTATTTGTTACTACTTTTGTCATTTTTTTTTTTCCTTCTTCTTTAGTGAGAAGGTATGAATACATTTGAGGACGACTGTGTGTCATCCAGCATCATGAAGTGTTAGAATTCACACTCAGCTCTCTACGTTTTTACCGTGTTGAACAGGAATGAGGAATTTCAAACTGAATTCTTCTTTTTATGACCAAACTTGAGGCGGCTCGCTGGGCTTCTCTGAGAAGTCAGACATGAATCAAGCATCACATTTAACCACTACAACTATTTTTTCTGTTTAGGAATGATGTATGTAAATAACTAAAATTTGACATATTAATCAAGAAACAATAATGTGCTTTCGTGTTTTTTTCCCATTTTTTTGTAAAACAGTAAATTTGAAAATTCATGGATAACAACAATAATTATATTTTAGCATTAAAAATATCATTTTGGTTAAAGAGCTTCTACATGCTGGTGTATGAACCATTACAGAAGCATAAGAAATGATTTTGGCAATTAACAATGCTGTTAATTTAGGGCAGCTGTGGCATAAAGCTGACACTGGATGGCGGTCTAATACATTTGTTAAGCACTGGATATGACTTTAAGTGTATGCTATATATATGTATGTATGTATGTACGCTTGATCTTGTTGTCAGACCGCTTCTCCAAATTGTGGAAATCAACTTTACATAACTCCACCACTTTGGTATCTTGTATTTGTCAAGTTACCAAAGTAGCATTGGCCACAGACAGCAGTGATTTTGATAAAGCACGCTCTCTGAGGTGACCACAGTGCGTCTCCACATCAATCAGAACCAAAACATTCAAGATTAAATTTAAAAACTTGCAACTGTGCGGCAGTAAGACGAGAACCTGCGCGCCAAACTCTGACTCCAATTTGATTTTAAGATCCAAAGCATTGTCCATCCATCCATTATCTATACACCGCTTAATCCTCACTAGGGTCGTGGGAGGCTGGAGTCTATCCCAGCTGACTCAGGGTGAAGGCAGGTTCACCTGGACAGGTCACCAGTCTATCACAGGGCCACACTTAGAGACAGACAACCAAGCACACTCACATTCACACCTACAGACAATTTAGAATCACCAATTAACCTCAACATGTTTTTGGACTGTGTGGGAGGAAGCCGGAGAACCTGGAGAGAACCCACGCTGCACGGGGAGAACATGCAAACTCCACGCAGAAAGATTCCGGTGCCCCCACCGGGACGCAACCTTTATGCTGCGAGGCAACAGTGCTAACCACTGCACCACCTTGCAGCACCAAAGCATTGTGAAGCTAATAAAAAAAACAACGCTTTGCTGTTTCTTTGCAGATGACTCCATATACGTGTTTGTCGTCAATCATCCTCACAGCAACAGCCAGATAGAGATCTTTCGTTTTGCTGAGGAGGACACCCTTGTGCACCTAAAGACCATCAGCCACCCTTTACTCCCCTCGTAGGTGCTTCATAATGTAGTTTACACATTTTACATTTGACGGCGTCTTTATCCTGTTTTTCTTCTGCGTCATGTTTTTCAGCGTAAATGACATCGTTGCAGTCGGGAAGGAGAGCTTCTACGCCTCAAACGACCAATACTTTCCCAGTCGTACGCTTCACCTTCTGACCCTCTTGTTGGGCGTGCCCATGTGCGAGGTGGTGTACTACAGTCCCGGTGACGTGAGGGTGGTGGCCGGTGGCATCCTGTCTGGAAATGGCATCAATTTGTCTCTTGACAAACGGTGATTCTCGATTCGTTTCACTCATTCTGTGCTCATTTTTCAAACTGAATAATTCCCACATACATGTGTTTTCTATAAAATGATAAAACAATATAAAAATAAAACTGTTTTGGGTTTTTTTTTTTTGCAGGTATATTTATGTTTCAGATATCGCAGACCATGACATAGACGTTTTTGAGAGAAAGAAAGGGGAGCAGTTAGTGTATATTAAGGTGAGAATGAGTTTTATTGTTTTCTAATGTCTGCAAAAAAGAAACGAGGTAAATACTTCAGCATTTTGATAGACAAGTTTTACCAGTTTCTTATCTGCCTCCTAGATATGAAGTGAGCGGATTAATTGAATGAAATGTAACGTACTAATTACCGTTTCCCCTTCTGACAGTCTTGATGCTAAGCTAAGCTAACTTTCTGCTGGATGTAGCTTCATATTTAACATATAGACATGATAGTGGTTTGAATATTGAAATCAAACTCAGCAAGAGAACAAATAGTTTCTCTCTTCTCTCTCACTTTGTATCCAGAGGACAGAAACCAGTGATCAGTTCTCATGTACTCATGTTTCTAAACAGTCTGTCGCCGTTGGATCACTTTGTGATAACATCGAGGTGGACCACAGGACAGGTGACCTTTGGATGGGCTGTCATCCAAATCCCATGAAGCTGTTCAGCTCTGACCCGAAAGATCCACCTGGTTCTGAGGTTTGTGATTTAAAAAAAATAAATTATACTTTGTACATAGGAAGCGAGTGCAGCACTGTGCAATATCACTGAAATGTCAAATGATTCAGACTTGTAACACCTTACAGCAGTTGTATTACTTGTAGATTGGGTAATGACGATGATGTAGAATTTAAAACTAATTACATAGATATACTATATAGTAAATACAAAAGTCAGTTACTGAAATTAAATATAATTATTTTATCTTTTCAATACTTTATATCTTAACTAGTATTTATGATGACAAACTCAATCCTCTTTGGCATCGAGGCTACCAGTGTGTACTAACTGCTCTTTGTCAGAGATGTTGGGTTGCTCAAAATTTCTTGTTTCAGGTCAGGCAACTACAGAAGCCGAGAGCGGTCATGGCCGCACATTTTTTTAAACGGCATTTTCTCGAGATAACGAGATAATTATCCCGTTGACAGTTTCGGCTGTCACTTCAGCCTTCATCAGAAGTTGTCGGACTTCCTGGTGTGACGTATCTTATATAGACAGCTGACCGGGAACTCCGACATGACGTGTCATGAGAACAGCTGACCGGGCACGACAGCTTACAATGAAGCGCTCGTGCCCGGTCTCGTCTGTCCTCCGGCCCCCCGCTGGTGACTGAGGATGGAATCCCAGGTGTGTGGGAGGTCCCACACACCTGGGATTCCATCCTGGACCGGGCACGAGCGGGCAAACACAAACACCAATTATCTCGTTTTCACGAGAAAACGATTCTTGTTATCTCGAGATAACGAGAAAATGAACTCGTTATCTCGAGAAAACGGCGAAGAAAGAACAGTAGCGGAAAACGACCGCTCTCGGCTTCCGTAGACAACATACCTGGTCAGGTCATAGTTTGCTTGTTTTTTTTGTCTTTTTTCCTTGTTTAGAAACTCTCGTGTGATTTCGTCAATGTGCTTTTGATCAGCTAGTGTTTTAGTATATCCACAGGAACTCATGGTGCATCTATAAATGTCATCTCCCCGGCACATTTTGCATTTACGCAGCTCCGTATCATCACACTCCCACCTCCGTGCTTCACTGTCAGGACTGTGGTAGTCAAGGCCAGGTTCACAACAACCATGCCATACACCCTAACCCCAATCTTAATTTTCTTTAGGCTACTTTTCATGTCTTCTGAAGGTTATTCTTGCACTTTTGTAGTAGACAGCAAGCAGTGATCTTTTTCTTGGACCTCTATAGGATGGCATTATGCACCGTCCTCCACAAAGCCTGAGCTGTCACAGAAACTGTTCATTGGTGACCCCTGTGCCGAAGCACTACCCCATCTGTTCAGAGCTAAATTGTGCAACACTTAGGAGGAGGCTCTGATTAGTGGTGTTATGCCTCCTTCTACACTTTTGTTATCCACCAGTCTTCTTGTGTCACTTTCCATCTTTGTAAAGTCTCACAATCAGATTTTTCACTTCTTCTGGCAATTCTTTCTCATTATGTAGACATGCAGATAAACGCAGCCCATAAGGTCCAAAATTCAGAAAGTTCTGGTGTTCAAAGGTTGACTTTAGAACAATTTTCATGCAATAAGGCTGACTGGAAATCAGAGGTAAACTCAGTCTTGTTACACTGATTACAGGTTTTCTACGTTGTGTGTCAGCGATCAGAGTTCACTTTTGTTGCATTGAGTTTCTACTTTGGGGCCTGTATTCACAACAGTCTCCCAAATGTATTTGCCTTTAATTGATCATAAGTCCAATTACCCAACCATTCGATTTAGAGGTAATGACTGAGAGGTACATATTTGAATCAGTTGACATTTAAGGGATATTGCATGGAGTCACTTCTGATGTGTACTGTACATTATTTTATGTCTATATTTTACCTAATCCTTTTTATTATCCGTGCTCTCTAGATCATCAGGATCCAGAACATTCACTCGCAGCATCCAGTGGTGACTGTGGAGTACGTCGACGACGGCCACGTGCTCATGGGCTCCACTGTTGCGGCTCCCTATGAGGGAAGGTTGCTCGTTGGCACCATCTTCCACAAAGCTCTGTACTGTGACTTGAGATAGTTTGCAGATCGTGTACTGTGTCTATCGTTGTTACAGTAACGAACAGTCTGCATGGGTACAGGAGTAAAAAAAAAAAAAACGAAAATCAATCCTGATTCGCTGCTAGCAAAATGACGATTTGAAAAATAATTTAAAAATAGTTAAGGCAGGAAACCATTTGACAGTGCAGCATCACTTTCTTTACATCTTTGTGGCGTCATTTCCACATAATGCAGCTTCTTCTCTTCATACATAACAGTATACATGATATTTAAATTACTAAAATCACTCCCACGTCGCGCCAATCTGCCACAAACGTGATGAAAGTAAAGGATCTTTTACCCTTTTTCATCTTTATCCAATAACAAATCTTCTTCCACTACCTTGGATATTTTAAACCGACTCCCGCTGCTTTCCAGACTCTGTACGACTTCCTCTTTTGGGGCCTCTGCGGCAGGTGCAGTAAAGACAATACCTTCAATGTCAAAATCAAACACACAACTGTCCTTGTTCTCTTCATCGTCCGTCCTTGGAAACGCTGGATTTTTGAGGTCTCTCGCCTGTTCCTGTATCGGAAGGCTCGCCTCCTCTTTCTCACCAGTGTCCCCGTCGGTCTTTGCGTTCATGAACACCTCACTGATGCTGATCATGCGTCTGTGCCGCGGCGAGCGATCCAGCGTCCGGATGTTGGTGCCCAAGATGTCGCTGCAGCTCTTTGAGCGATTTATGTTTTCCGGTGGCTTCTTCCTCTTTGCCTCCATCCCGATCTCTTTGATGACGGTGCCGTAGTCGTCGTCGTCCTTCTCAGACAGGAAGTTGAAGATGTCGATGACGTTCTGCTTGACCTCCACGTGTTGCTCCTCCTCTTGGGATTGTGGCTCCTCGTCGTAGAAGTGCCTGTGCCTGTGTCTTCTTTTCTTTAGCACTTTGTGAGCTTCCACCACCATGTGGACGTTCCAGCTGAAGAACAGAGACAGCCAGGCCAGGCCCATGTAGATCCACAGCTCTGCGAATACTCTGTACAGGCGCGGGTATTGTATGTTTGGATTCACACCTGAAATGAGAGTCGATGAGTTTGATATCAAAAGTTCAGACCAACAAACTATGCGGTAAACAAAACCTACCTGCCACATAATCTCCAAAGCCAACCGTTGTGAGCGTGATGAAAGAGAAGTAGATGCCTTCCAAGTAGCTCCACCCTTCCACAGCCATGAAAACAAAAGGAGGGATCACCAGGTGTACCAACAGTCCCCATAAAAGAAATAAGGCTGTACAGGTAAACTGGACCTTTTTCTGACAAAGAAGGGGAAATAAACACAAACTTAACCCTTAATTATTATTCATGACGCTGCATTTTAACACAGAGTTCAGAGAAATGACAGATTCTTACCACTGAAACGCCTTTATGTATCAGAACCTGGGACAGACGTTTAGCTCGATCGCCAAAGAATGAACCCAGTTTGCTGATCCACACCAGACACAGGGGGATCCCACACAGGCCGTAGAGGATGCAGAACACACGACCTCCTTTTGTTTTAGGGGCGACATTACCGTAACCTGCAGATTACAAAACGATTAGTAAGTCCTGATTCTTTATAGGAGAAAAATGAAGTAATAACACAATCACGGCTGTCAAGCTGAAGATATTTGGTTACTGGGTATCTGTAGTATCATGTGCTTTATGTTTTTTTTTACTTGCTTTGTTGCTGATTTTTCAGGAATCTTCCTTGAGTGCACTTTAATCACATAAGTTTACAAATCCATACTCGCAAGATGATTTCATGAGCTGGCTTCTTTTTTTTTTTAACTGATGTGAAAACAATAATAAACGAGTTTATCACAGTATCGTATTGAGCGTTTTGCTTTCTACAACTTTGCAAATTACTTTTAAGTATGAACTGTAAATCAGGGGTGTCGAGCTCCGGTCCTCGAGGGCCAAAGTCCTGCAAGTTTTAGATGTTTCCCTCTTCCTACACACCTGATTCAAATGATCAGGATCATTATCAGGCTTCTGCAGAGCTTGACTTTTTTTATCAGGACCAAATACATAATGTGCTTTTTTCCAGAAGTACCTTCCTAAGCTGTCTTTAAACACATTCAGGACACTTTTCCCAATATATAGTACATCCTGATGCGTTTTCAGGACATTCTGCAACGTGACCTTTTTTATTTTTTTTTTTAATTAGTTTTTTGGCCTTTGTGCCTTTTTTGTATCGTGTTAGTGAGAGAGAGAAAGGAAAGTAGGGAAAAGAATGGGAGAAGGCCCTATAGGAAAAGGGTCATGAGCGGGATTTGAACTCATGACCTCCATATTGGGACTGTAGCCCCACACATAGGACACTAGCT